TCGCAGACGAATTCGACATATCTTCCATGCATGCCCGCGCGTCTGCCGTCAAAATATATTGTTAGACATGATACAAACCCATGACCCTGAACCGTGGGACACGGTCTCAGCTCTTTCGGATCAGATTCCTTTTCCCGCCGCAGGCAGCACAAGCGCGAAGCGCTTGCCCAACGGGCCATCGATCAAAGACTTCGAGAGCGCCATCGCCTGGTTACGATGCCAGCACAAATGGAGTACTCTCATGCTTTTGGACCTGCAGGAGTCCTACGTGCAAGAGGAAGCATAGCCAGGAGGGCCCTCGCTGGCGACCACTCCGAAATTCTACAGCATTCTCCATTTCGGAAAAAAAAAAAACATATTTGCCAAAAATTGAAAGGGGCCGTATGGTCTGGGACTGCAGGCCCCTTGGGCGCGTCCCAAATAGTTATAGGATCGAAGTCCCTGGAGGTCCTGCTTAACCAAGGAAGGGGGCTCAGGGCCGCCGAACTCATGCTCATAAGTTTCGCCCTCACTCAGCCCTCCACTCCTCCGACACGATGGGTTCAGCCTGCCTATCGCCCTCCGCTCCAGGCATCTGCCGCGCGCGAAGCCATTCCTCGGCATCGGGAGGCGCACCAATATTCAATCGTGCGTCTCGACGTTTTGGCCCAAACCGATAGCGAACAACATGTCGGGAGGCTTTCATTGCCTCGACAATACGTTTCCCGGCCCAGCATCCGTTAACTTCCTGGAACAATCTGGCACGCACTGACGCAGGCATTGCCCGCGTTCCTTGCGAAGCTGGGACGAGAGAGCCTTGACCTGAGCATCGATCGACTCGGCCCCCTAGTCATCCTCCTTTAGACCTCAAAGTTCGACTCGCTGGCGAAGCAAGTTTCGGCGGCGTTCACAAAATTCACTGTAACTCTCTCGACTCTGGGTGGCCCCTGGGAAGTGTGACTGCCCCACCCGAACTAGAACTGCTCCAAGTGTCTCAAAAACTTCATCTGGACATGCATGATCACGCAAGTATTGCACCCCAGCCCCCTGATAATCCTCAGTAGAAGAACGAATGAACACCCATCTACATTTACACTTTATTTCTCTGATTTAACGTGTGGGGGCAAACGTCGTGGGGGGTGCTGCGCTGGCGAACATGTACCCAAGGCGTGATTTTCGGGCCGGCGAAAACATGATGTCCGAGGGCCGGCGAAACTTATGCAGCATTTCAGAGTCGCGGCTAACCACGATGACGGTGATACTACTGAAGACCGTGGTGTGGCGGTGGTGAGCAAGAGGATGTTGTGTTGGTGACGATGACGCGAGGAGAAAGGTTATGCAGATCGCGACTGGTTGCTGGTATTATGAAATCGGTTGCGATACTTGCAGTGACGACGACGATGATGCTGATGGTGATAACGGCGCCTATGAACAACCTGTGCTGATAGGCGCCGGCGAAAATTACGCCTGTATGTAGCGAGAGCCGGCGGTATGTATTCCTCGGGGCACAACGCTGGCGAAAATTATATTGGGGCCAAAAAACGCGACCGGTGAAAATTACACCACCCACGATAAATCAGGGAAGTCGAATACCTGACCGAAATCCCTCCGTCATCGCGTCGAAATTCCACCGAACCCTAACACCAGCTGGACGAATCAGACCATCCTTGCTGAATGTACGACTGGTAGGCGATTCCGTGGATGGGGCCCTCCGTACAGGCTGAAGCGAGGCTCCAAAACGGCGTAATGGATGATAGTGATGCGCAAAATGTGCGAACCTCTCAAGATAATAAAAACAAAATCGATACAGTTTGACGGATGAGTACCGAAGAAGATGTGCTCGGCTCTCTGCCCGACGCTCCCAGCGATTACGCGGTGCTTCTCTAGGGAAATGCTCGTGAACAGCGTGCCATGCTGGTGGGGTTTCATACACCGTTCTTCTGGTGTCCCCAATGCCATAGGAGTAGGAGAGGGGGGAGGACAAGTTAGGTGCGCTCGCGTCATATCTGGCATCCTACCCATCCTTCCCATCCCTTACCATGGTGCAGATTCCCGTTCTATTCGCACAATCGGATGTCGAGCAGGGCAATGATCCCGAAAGGGTACGCGATGCATTGTAGAGCACGGCGTGGCATGGCGTAGAAGAGCACCGCGAAGCGCAGTATCAACCTAGCATTGCACTGCATGCCGTGGCATGGCGCGGGAAATGAGGCCATCGCTGCAGCGGGAGCACGAGTCGAAACGAGCGGAAGCGCGGAAATGAGGCCAGCGCTGCAGCGGGAGCACGTTTCGGAACGAGCTGAAGCACGCCGGAATCGGCCCGGGAGGCTTCCCGGGCGCTGGCCGGAACCGGCTCCGGACCCGGCCCGGGCGCCAGCCCGGGCGCCGGCTCGGGCGTCCGGCCCGGGCGCCGGCTCGGGCGCCAACCCGGGCGTCGGAATCGGCCCGTGACGCCTCCCGGGCGCCGGAAGCAGAAATTTAACATTTTCAAAAGAAAAATGTGTATAAGAATGGCCTTTTTTCGGCGCCGCCTCGGAACTCGATTTTCCGGCGCCGGCCGGAACTGGCTCCGGATCGACCTGGCCCGGACGCCGGTCCGGGCGCCGGCTCGGGCGTCCGGCCCGGGCGCCGGCTCGGGCGCCGGCCCGGGCGTCGGAATCGGCCCGGGAGGCCTCGGGCGCCGGAAGCAGAAATTGATCATTTTCAGAAGAAAAAGGTGTATTATAATGGTTTTTTTTCGGCCCCGCCTCGGAACTCCATTATTTTCTGGGGGCGGCCGGAACCGGCTCCGGACCCGGCCCGAGCGCGGCCCGGGCGCCGGCTCGGGCGGGCCCGGGCGCCGGCGGAAATGATGCCAGCGCTGCAGCGGGAGCACGATTCGGAACGAGCGGGGCCCGAAAATGGGGCCGGCGCCGCAGCGAGAGCAGCATTTCGGAACAAAAATGCAAGCGAAAACCCAACTCCGGGGAAACCTGTGTAAAAAAGCAGTACGCGGGGGGGAGGCCGAACACTCCCAAGACGTCATCAGGGGAAGAGGGAGGATAATATTCATATTGAGTAATTGTGGATGAGAAAGAGAGAAGGGGAGTGATGAAGACGGAGGAAGACCAGGAGTGGCAGGTCGAGACCCACCATGCGCTCACGCTTGCAAGCCCTGGGCTTTGACGCTGCGAGGCCTGTGGACGTTCAGCCAGACAGAAGACTCATGGTGGTATTGGGGATCGTCTCGCATCTACTTGCCCTGCTCTGGCTCCGAGGGCCTCCGTCCTTGTGCATCGGGAGCGCCCCTTCCCTTGAAACTGAGACCCCCGTGAACGAGGCCATGTGGGCCAGACTGAGCATGGAGGGTCCACCTTTGGTGGTTGCGCACCCTGCCTCCATGCAGGTCCAGTTCTCCGGCTGACGCATGGCCTGCGACACAAGGATCGGCATACGCTGGGCGGCAAGGGTGGATCTTGGGGCACTCAGCAACCTGTGAATCTTCTGGCTGGTTACATGGTGGCCCTTCAGGGCCCGCGCAGCATGCCTCCCAAGCAGTGGCCAGAACTGCAGCTAGTTCGCAGAGGACAGCCCCCGCATCAGAGGTCCAGCATCTAGGCTCGGAGCAAGCGCCACTGGTCGAGTTCTGGCGGTTGCTACACAACGCGGTTGTCACAGGTCACAATCACGCGCCTGACAACCCTGTATCTGCGACCTCCGTTTGGGATGGGGCGGTTGCTGGCCTCCTGCCTCCGCGACTCCTCGAGGCTTTTTGGGCATCCAGGTGAGACCGCCCGCCCAGGGGACGCTGCGTTGGCTCCAGCCCCCTCGAGCGCTCAAACCTAGTACCCTGGCCAAGCGCTGAAAATCCAAACCTTCTCTGCGGGGGCTCCCTCTTCACAAGTTGACCCAATAAGTTTGAACCTGCCTCAGAGATGGGCATAGCGAGGCTCAGCCAGGCGCGCCCGGCGACCTGGCGGTTGGAACGCCCGCGCAACCGACCCCGCAGCCCAGGGCGCTGCGCGCCATGGCCACAGTCATTGCGGGGGGGGGGGAGGGCGTCCGCCCCAACGACCCCGCCCACGAGGGCGGTTGTTGTCGTTGCTTGACGTGGACGGGTGTTACAGGAGGCGAACCTGCCCCGAGGTGTCTCCAGGACTTCCTGGGAAGCCCAGGGGGGGCCTCCGGAGCTCCCCTCACGAGGCCCGGGTGGCCTCAGGGGGCCCAGCATGGCGTGAGAACGCCTGGGCAAAACCCAAACTGGGTGGCCGCTGGTAGGCGGCCCTTTAGCAGGAGGAGGAGGAGGAGGAGGAGGAGGAGGAGGAGGACGAGGAGGAGGAGGAGGAGGAGGAGGAGAGGAGGAGGAGGAGGAGGAGGAGGGAGGGAGGAGGAGGAGGAGGAGGAGGAGGAGGAGGAGGAGGACGAGGAGGAGGAGGAGGAGGAGGAGGAGAAGGAGGAGGAGGGAGGAGGAGGAGGAGGCACCGAGCTGGGAGGCAGGAGGCTCGGGGCAAGGCAGCTCCCGCTCTGAATGCGGAAGGGCCCCCGCGCTGCGCTCCCCGCCCGTCGGGCTCTGCCCTGCCGGGGAGCGACTGTGCGGCGCACCAGCCCGTGGCCCACGGGCTCGGTGCTGGCTCACGCAACTAAAGCTAGGAGGCAACTGCTGGGAGGTTTTGGTCGGAAAGATGAAGGAGGGTGAAGCCCCATTTGGGAGCTGTTACGCCGGAGTGGGCCTCGGATTAAGCGGGATTAAGCCGTGTTAGGCGGGATGAAGCGGGAGTAAGCCGGACTTCGGACCAGTGCAAAATCAGAATTTGACCTCCCAGGAGACGCATCCCAACTAAGGATGTCCCCGCAGGCGCATACTCTGAGCCTTCTGCTCCGCCGTGGAGCCGCCTAGAGTCACGTAGGACTCCAACATACGATAGGAGTCTCAAGAACTGCTGCTGCCCCTCCCCCTTGCTCTCCCGTCTGCTCTTTCCAAGCCACCCCGCAAACCTCCGGAGAGGTGTGGAGCTCCCCTGTCCCCCCCGAGTCCGCGGGGCCTTCGAATGAGCGACCATGATCTTCGTGACCTCCCCGAACTGCGAGTAGTGCTTCTCCAGCAGGGCCTTGGACCGGAAACCAAGCTTGTTGATACGGCGCGCGATGAAGATGCACCTGGAGGATGGGTCGGCGGCGGGCCCTGGGGGAAGTGAGAAGAGACGGTCCTTCTCAGAAGGCTCGGAAGTCCCCCGGCCTTCTGAGAAGTTCTCTGAGCCCTCCCCGAAGACACAGAACAACCTATACGAAGGCGCGAGGGATCCTGAGAAGACCCGCCGCCTTCTGAGAAGACCTTCGCCTTCTCACTTCCTCCCCTCGCTCGCCGCCGAATGGGGTCCCTTGCTCCCGCCGCTCCTGCTGCTGTTTCCTTCTCCCCGCACCGCCCGAGCCCTGAGGGTAACGACCAGCCGTTTTGGTCTCGGCGCCGGAACGGACGCGCGCGCGCGGCGCGGCCGGAGCCTTCTCAAGCATGGGCGCGGCAAGGCGGACTGCACACGAGCGGGCGGGCAGGTTCCCCGGGCGGGTGGCGGGGGGGGGGGGGGGGGCCTATGCACGGAGGGCGAGGAGAAGGACCCACAAAGATGCCCTTCAGGGCCCCTTGGGGCCCCTGCTGGCTCCGAGTGGGGCCCGTGCTGGCTCCGATCGGGCCCCTGCTGGCTCTGCCCCCCCCCCCCCCCCCCGTGGGCCCCCCCCCCACCCCCATTGGCACCCGCCCGAGTTGCACGAGATACGCAGAACAGCCTCTCGGCATATGCCGTGCTCGGGCACCTTTCGCACGCCGGCTCAGCGCTGCGGAGTGACGCGCAATCCATCCGAAGAAAAGACTGCGAGTTCGCACCTTCTAGCAACCATCATTAGCGGAGAAGACCATCTCCATCACATCCTCCTCATCGCTGTCCTCATCCCCTCTCCTCTATCTCATCCATCCCCTCCTCCCCCTCCCCCTCATTGATATCCCCTGTGATTTGTCAAGCAGGAAGCTGGATCGATGGATGACTTCTACGCTGGCTTTGGGGAGATTGCCCAGCATAGTACGGCCCCTGTGCCCATCTCCGCAGGCACGCCGAAGAGCCCTGGGGGACCGACATGCGTCGTTGCTGACCTTCCTCCGTGGTGAACACAATTACGTGGAGCCTGACCGGCATTTGTTGTTTGAACATGGGCTCAACTCGTGGAAACAAGTTGCGGGACTCATGTCCGCCATGAAGATGAGGTTGCGCAGAATTGGCCAGTCGATGCCGGGTCTTCCTGTCATGCGAGACCAGTTCAGGGTCGACCTCCCGCTCACGCTTAATCTCTCTAGCCATCTCGGGCAGCATGTTCTGCACGTACATGAAAGGTATGGGGCTACGTTGTTACCGAGTTTGCCTCAGTCTAAAGGAAGATGCAACGACAAAGTCGATGCGCAGTTGCAGTGGCACACAACTGCGGCCCATCAGAAATCAAGTGTGCTGTATGTGTACGCAAATGTTATCAACGCTGCCTGGACTAAGGCGCGAACGAAGCCCGCTCGCAAGATATGCATTCCGAGCAGTGTATGCAATCTCTGTGGGTGAGCAAACGGTGCACTCCTAGCACAGGCACGGGCGAGGCCCTGCTGACGGGGAAGAGCGAGCTGCTGCACTCCGTAAAGACGTCGAAATGCGCACTCCCCATTAGCTATCGGCTGAATCGGATCCTGCTCGGCACCTACTGTGCACCCGCAGCCTCTGTGAGCATCCATGTGACCTCATCCCTCGACCCTCGACCTGACCACGAACTCGATGGTCAAAGATCGGTAATTGAAGATCAGTGGATTGAGGACCCCAGCAGTTGCTCATGTTGAGGGTTCGCGCTGCCGCAGTGTTCGTCGAAAGCTATCAAAGGCGGGGTGAACGACTGTCGGCGTTTCCGAAGCTGGGAAGGCCGCTGTCATTCTCTCTGGCACCCTCATGCGCCCACCTTCCCCCCCCAAAGCTGCTGAATCTGCGGCCGACTGCGTGGCAGTGCATTGTGGTCAAACTCACGAGCGGATCTAATTACAGAGGTTGTTGAATGTTGCCCGCCGGGCCGAGGACGCTCTCCAGGCCAGGCGTTCATTTCACCCCCCATACGCTGGATTCACGCTCCAAGCGATGGCGCCCCGTACGTGCAGGTCATCAAGGTCAAGGACCACCAGCGTGTCAGCCCAGACCTCACCCCCAAAGAAGCGGCTCACAACACACCGGAACGATCTTGCTGACCGAGCTGCAGGCGCAGCGGCGCACCGCCATCGTCGGCCGTCTGCCAACGAATAAGAACGAATTCCCAAATCCAAACGAGCCTCCCGTGCTTAACGCCATCTAGCCGCGAACGTGACGACTCGATGGTCCAGGTTGGACCTATCAGGTAACCTTTAGATGTGCGCACTGGGAATGAAGGCTCTGGATGTGCGCTGTTTGTTTTGGGGCTGCCCGTAGTTCTTCAAGGCCCCCTCATGGACTGTAAGGGCGCTACTGCCATGAAGGGCATTACTGGTCGTCGACTTCGCGCGCTGATGCAGCGGCCCGCTGTCTTTCATACGGACCACGTGGAAAGCATTCGAATTGTCTATGCCAATTATTGTTAATGCGCCTCTGGCGGGGGAAATCACCGCCTCAACCCACGAGGCTTGTAACCCCGGCCCGCGATCCGTGTGATAGTGGAAGCCGTCATGCAAGGACTCGGAGTTTCGAGAGAGCGCGATCTGCCGTTGTTTCACTGGAAGAATTCCCCCCCCCCCCCCTCTCCGAGGGAACCAGGGGGGTGGAGAGGAGGAGACCCCTCCAGCCCAGAAGCCCAGGGGGGAGGGGGCCCTCCCTGCCCAAAAATTCGAAGCGATGCTTGAGTTTTGCGTGAGCTTTGCTAGAGCTTTGGTTTACGCTTTGTTTGAGGTTTGATGGAGCGCGGATTGCGCCTTGCTTGAGCTTTCTGTGATCTCTGTTTGAGCCTTGCTTGAGCTTTGCTTGAGCTCTGTTTGAGCTCTGTTTGAGCTGAGCTTGAGCTTTGTTTGAGCTTTGTTTGAGCTCGCTGTCAGCGAAGCACGGACCATTCGGCACCCAATATTGCCCATCCTGGGCGCAGGATGGACGCAGACGCTCTCGTGGCTCGGCTCGGGAGTCACGGTACACTGCTCGGTGCATGTGCCAAAGTCTCGTCGTCCGAGAAGAGGTCCGCCCGGCGCGGCTGGAAACTCGGGCAGGCGATGTTGGAAGTGGCGCCCAGCTCTCTGGCTCTGGCCACCCTGCGAGACCGCTCTGCTTGGGAGGGGGGGCGACCGCATCAGCAAGGGACGACCTGGTGCCAGATATCCCATCAGTCCTAAGTCGGGCCTGTCCCTCTACTGGAAGAATACTCAAAAATACTCAAATCATAGCCTGGGGACGATGCTTTGAATATTTGTTGGCCACCTGGGGGCATTGTTTTGACTACTTTTTATATTTTCGTCCAAAATCCCCCAGCAGAAGGACCGGCCCGACTTGCAATTCGTCTCGCATTTTTTTTGTTGTTCGTTCCCGTCGTGGGCCACAGAGCTCTCGACCCCATCCTCAAGACTGAAGGGGCCCTGGGACACACAAATAAATACACACAAATAAAAATATTCCCCATATTTTCCCATATTTTCTGGGTTTTTGTCTTCCCCACCACTTCCCATATTTTCCCATATTTTCTGGGGAAACGAGGATTAATTGTGTCTGTGTGTTCTTTCCCCTCCTGAAAGACCAACTCCTCGTCGCGGCGGGCCGCCACACGCGGCCCGCAAACCGAGCCCCTGACACCCAAAAAATTGCGACCAGCAGCGGCACGCGCTGCCTCTTGCCGCGGCGCGGACGGCTGGAAGCCGCTGCTTCTCAAAGGCAACCAGAAAGGAGAGGACCGATCCCGAAAACCAGCTTCCGGCAGGTTCGTGTCGTGCCGACCCCAGCGTTGGTTTTTGACACCGCAGGGATCATTCAACCTTGAACGATCGGCCACTGCCGCAACGTCCGATCGTTCAACATCGATCGATTCTGGGTCGCCGGCGGCGTTCAACCTTGAACGCCCGCGCTGGGGTCGCCGCTGGTCGACACGACGCAAACCTACCGTACGCCCCCGAAGGGCGAAAGACCCACGGCAGACCCAGGCATGCGACATCCTGGTGTTTTCAAGACGCGGTCCCAAAAAACCCAAACCCTTTCCCCGAGGCGGGTTTTTTGTTCCGCGTCTTGTGACGGTCCCGGGGCCCAGCGAGAGACCGAAGGGGCCGAAAACTGCCAAAATAGAGAAAGAACAAACGGCATAACCATAAACTTTTGGCGCTCCGCGCGGACTTCTTGGATCTGCGCTGGATCTCCCTCCCTGGAGCGCGGAGCGCGTCAGGGGCGGCGCCGGAGGCGCCCCTGGGGGTTGCCCAGCGCGGATCCAAGAAATCCGCGCGGAGCGCCAACAACCTATGTTTATCGCGTTTGTTTTCTTCGAGAGCCGTGTGACGGTCCCGGGGCCCAGCGAGAGCCCGCAGGGGCCGAAACCAGTCCCGTCTTCTTGGATTTTACGACGCAAGCATGTCTGGGGAGTGCCGATCTCCGATGCTCGATGGACGCCGGAGGACCACGCTTTGGTCGGGAATGTCCTCGTACAGGTGGATGTTGGATGACAAATTTGCACAACCAAAAAATGAAGACTTGTTGACAAAAAACATAGTCTCCTGATTACTTTCGACGCGAGCATGTTTGGGGACTGTCGACCTCCGATGCTCGATGGGCGCTGGGCGGGCTGCGCTGCGGGGGTCGGGGGGCCCGCTGCTGCTGCTCCCGACCGTGCCGCCCCGCCGCGCCTGGGGTCCTCGGCGCGCATCTCCTGCAGGTGGTGGCGCCTCGGGCTGCGACTGCGCTCCCCCACCTCCCCTTGGAAGACGAGGGTATAGATTGACCGATCACTTTAGGAGGTCACAGCTGGGAGGTTTTTGTCGGAAAGATGCAGGAGGAGTAAGCCCCATTTGGGAGCTGTTCCGCCGGATTAAGGGGGATTGGGCCGGGTTCAATGGGATTGGGCCGGATTATGGGGGATTGCGCTGGATTAAGCAGAATTAAACGGGATTAAGCCGGATTCAGCCGGATTTCGGACCAGGGCAAAATCAGAATTTGAACTCCCAGGAGTTGCATCCGAAATCACTCAGTGAATTGACGGACGAACAGTACACATTTTTTCCGTCAGCGGCGCGGCAGAGGCGGCCCGCCCCGGCGTGTGGCAACTCGGGGCCACCGAAGAGCTCATTGGCCTGCACGATAATATGATCTACTACGCCAGCAATTTCTCTACGAGATGATGGGGCCGGCGCTGTTATAGTACATTCGTTGCCGACGTTGTAGCTGGAATCAACCACTTATGGTATGTCATGCTATCGTATGATCTGCTGTACTCTGATATATTAAGCAATATCATGGTATGCGTTTCTATGTTACGTTATGTTCGACGTTGCGTTCTGTCATGGTATGCTCCGTCACGACATGCTACGGTATGCTCTGTTATGCTGTGTTTTGTTATGATAGTTTATCCGTCACCGTGCCCTTGGCCCGGGGAATTTCTGGGAGCTTTTGGGTTGTGTTGCATGCGCCTTCTGGAAGCCAGGAGGGTCACCAAACGGGCCCGAAAAGCCTAGGAACGCCGCCCAGACGATCCAAGAGGGCCCCAAATCGCCCCATGACCGTTCCCAGACGCCTCAGATGGCCTCGAGACGGCCAAAGAGCCCCCGCAAGAAACTCCTAGGGGGCCTAAGAGCACCCCCAAGAAGGAGGCCCCAGGAGGCCAAATAATGCATTGTCCTTGAGATGCTTCAAGATTTTCCCCTTATAGATCTTATCAGCTTCCAACGCTCCGAGACGGCCAAGAGGCCCCAAATAGCGCCCCAGAGCTGTTCAGGAAGCCGTCAGGAGGGCCCCAAGACGCCCCAACAGGACCTCACGACACTGCCCAAGAGGCCCCCAAGATGGCCCAAGAGGCATCCAACAAGACCCAAGAGAAGATCGAGAGGGGGAACACGAACGGACATTTCGAGCTTTCACCCCAAAATGTCCCCAAGAGCCTCCCATAGGCTCCCGAAGCCGCCGCAAGACGCCCCAAGAGACCCCCAAGACGCCCAAGAGGCCCGCAAGGGATCCCACAGAAGCCCCCAAGACCCCTGCGAGAGTCCCCGGAGAGGCTTCCCAAGAGACCGTTAGTTGCATCCACGACCCAAGCACGGTTGCGGGTTGGGCCGAAGGCCATGAGCAAATTTGTTGTACCGCGCTATGGCATGGTATGTGGTGTCAGGATATGGCTATGTAATGCGATGGTATGTATGCTATGTTATGTGGATGCGTTCTATGTTATGTTGTGTTATGTGACGCGTGGTGGTATGACATGTGTTGTGTGATTATGCAAGCCAGTGTACGCGCGGTTATGCGAGACTACGTTATGGTATGGCACGCACTGCTATGTTATGATCGGTGTTATGATTGTGCATTGCTGGGTTGTGATATACTATGGCATGCGTCGTGATGGTGTGCGGTGGCATTCTACGCTCTGCCACAATTAAGAATGGTGTGATGTGGTATTGTGTGTTATGCAGTGATAGTTTGTGTTGTCATTTGGTGTAGTGGTATGATATGTTCGGCATGTGCTGCCACGGTGTGACATGATATCTGGTGTTATGGTAGCGTGGTAAGATGAGCCTGCTGTTTCATGACACGGTGCCCCTCGTTGTACCAACGTATGTTGTGTCATACTATGGGATGAATTGATATGTGCCGTTGTGATATGGTATGACGTGTCCTGCTATGAGGTGTCATGTGATGGTATGCTCTGTTATGTTGTGACGAGATAGATGCTGCTCTGCTATGATGTGTGGACGTGTGGTTCCATCCGTCAAGTTCTGCCGTGATCGTCGACGGGGCGAAGCGGGAGCCTCGGGGGATTCTCGGTGGAGCTGGGGAACTGGTAGTCGCGGTATGCAGAGTGAGGGGGACGGCGCGAAGCGGGAATCTCGGGAGATTCCGTTGGACCTGGGGGTGTGGCGGCCGCGAAGTGCAGGGCGGGCGGACCAGGGGATGATGTGCTCGTCGAATCGGACGACTCCAGAGTTCCAGGCGGGAAAGGACATTCCACTTTGAACCACGGATCTTGGGACCACCATCCTTATAGCGAGGGGCGCCACCCCCAGGGCGAGGAACGCCATCGTCATGATGCGAAGCTTCCCGCGGCCAGGCGCCTCTCTACGTCCAGCGCAGTCGCCCGAGCTTGCTGGGCCAAAGTGGCCGCGGCTGCGTGATGAGGTGCACGAACAAATCAATTCGGCGGGACAATGCAGGACTCGGATCCCGAACCCATCCGCGTCGGTCCGAGCGCCTTGCTCTCAAGGGGCAGCCCTCCGAGTCGTCGAACCACTCAGCAAAAGCAATCCTCGGAGTCACCCTCCGATCAGCCCACCGCCTGCGACTATGGCAGGCTGTTCGCCGAAAGCCCGCGGTATGCCGATGCACCTGGGAAGCCGTGAGAGACGCGGCTGGGCAAGCCGTGAAAGGCGCAAGAAGGCAAGAGCGAGGGGACTTCCGAACCCGGGCACCAACCAGCGCGCCACCCCCCAAGTCAACGGGCAACGAGCCATCGGTCTACAGTAGACACATACGAAAAGAGATTACTATGTGGCAGCATGGAAGGCCACTTCGTCAAACGTTCACCCGAAAGTGATAATAAATATAGTGCACTCGCGAGCTGACAATCACAAGTGCCTCCCTGTCTCGCCGCAAAGCGTGATCCCACAATGGGTAATACGCAATCCCCCGAATGACGACCGAAAACGGGGCTTCAAAAATCGAAAGCATGTCACCCCTCGTCCTGGCGACCCCTGGCCAGGCACACTCAAACAACATCAGCATCTGACTACGAGAATGAAGAAAAGGTGGGAGCATGTGGATACACTCCCTGAGCCCGGCGACGAATCGATGATTGATTGACGAAATTATGTACATGCCAAGCCGCTCCGTGAGATCCTTGTCATCTTCCTCTCGCGGGCGCAGAACCGAGAGAGTGCGCAATCTATCCAAAATTCTTCCAGGACCTAAGTCCAGCTCGGTGTAGCCGATATCCCACTCGATTGTATTCAGGGTCCGCTTCCCGACGTGCAGCGCCTCCATGCAAGGCAGACTGGTCATCGCGTCCGCGGCCCCGTAAGCGCTCATGGGCGCCACGCCGAAGACCGTACACCAGAACATATCCAAATGGGCATGACACGCTCTGATCATCTCGTCTAAGATACAAGACCGTAGGCGAAGCCGTACGGTACCGACACCGCTGCGTCCCGGGTTTCCCGGACCACTCCCGGGGTGCGTTATGACCCACATGTCGCTGCGAATCCAGCGGTGGCGACGAGGGCCTCCCAAGAACGCTGGCGATGAGAGCCTCCCAGGAGGCCCACAAAAGGCGAAAACGAGCCAGGGGTAGCGATCGGACGCCTGTTCCTCATCAGATCATCTCCCACGTCGCCGTCATCATCGGCGGAATCGTCGCCATGATCGTCGAGCCCAACAAGGCCGTCTCCACAGCCGCCTTCATCGGCAGCAGCCTGCGGCCTGGGCCGCCGTGGCCGCAGCGCGCAGCGGACGCCCAGGCGCCCACCAGAATGCTGGCGGCCGTGGTCGCAGAGCGCGCACTGCGCCTCGACGGGAACCACCCGCAGACGCAGGGGCGATTGAGCCCGCCGCCATAGGTTCAAAGGACGCCGGTGTGTCCTCCTCCTCCTCCTCCTCCTCCTCCTCCTCTTCCTCCTCCTCTTCCTCCTCCTCCTCCCCCTCCTCCCAGGGGCCCGAGCGAGCTCGCCCCCACAAACTCACAAGGCGCCGGGGCGAGACCGGGCGAAGCCCTGGTGGGTGCCCGGAGGCCTGCGGCACTCACCGCCGCGCGCGGCGGCGCAAGGGTGCAGCTGAAAGTGCTGGCCGAGAGTGCGGCGGCACTCACCGCCGCTGTGGTCCTTACCCCCCTGGGGGAACCCATCGCATCGACGATCTCTCGAGAGGGGTGTCGAAATCGATGCGTCCCCCAGAGGGGGTAAGGACCACAGCTCCCCCAGTTGTGGTTGGCCTGTGCTGGGGAAAGGGCAGCGGGTGCAGAGGAGGAGGCCGGCTCCCACCCGGAAGGTCAAGTTCTCCATGCTCGCCAAGCAGCTACCGCGCCAAGGTCAACGGGTGCGGAGGAGGAGGAGGAGGAGGAGGAGGAGGAGGAGGAGGAGGAGGAGGAGGAGAAGGAGGAGGGGAGGAGGAGGAGGAGGAGGAGGAGGAGGAGGAGGAGGAGGAGGAGGAGGAGGCCGCCGTGAGGGCCCCCAGAGGCTCCAGATTACCCGGGAGGCGGAGGCAGGCACGAAGGGAAGGAGACTCTCCTCGCTCACCTCCCTCGCCTCCCGCATCTCCCTCCTCCCCCTCATCCGCCTCCATCTCCCTTCCTGTGACGACGACGACACCGACGCCGCCGCCGACGACGACGGCGCCGGCGCCGACGCAGCGGACTCCGGCGGCGGCTGGGGGCGGCGCAAGTTGTCCTTTTGCTGCTTCTTGAGCTCACCGTCGGCCTCGCGGCTGGGGGGCGCGCCGGCTGCTGCCCGTGGGCCCTCGTGCAGCGCCCGTGCCCCCTCCTCCCAGCCTCGGGATCGGGATCGCACCAGGCGGGCGGCCAGCGCTCCAGGCATTCAGACCCCATCTTGGGGGAAACCAGAAGGTATACCGATACCGCTGCGCCCCGGATCTCTCCTGGGGTGCGTGGCCCGAGAAGGCGAGAGCGAGGGAAGGGAAGCCGCAAGGGTGCCTTTTCCTCCTCAGCCTCTGACTCCTTCCCTTCGGGAAGGAATTGCCCCCCCCCCCCCCCCCCGCACCAAACGCCGCGACACTGCCCTTTCGGGGAGGAGGAGGAGGAGGAGGAGGAGGAGGAGGAGGAGGAGGAGGAGGAGGAGGAAGAGGAGGAGGAGGAGGAAGAGGAGGAGGAGGACGACCCCATCACACAACGTCGCGACGCTTCCCCGCCCGCCCAGCGAAGCCTCCTCGAGGCTGCCTGGAGGCCTCTCGGGGGCCTCATTGTGGGTCTCTTGAGAACCTCTTGGGGGCTTCGTTGCAAGCTGTGCTCCGTTGTTGGCCTTTTCGAGACCCAGACACGCTTCAGATCACCCAAAGGAAGTCCCAAGACGGCAGCAGGAAAGGATGTTCTGGCTCGCGACATGGGGGGCCCTATTTGAGCCCCCCTGTTTCCAAGCGGATCCAGATTAGACCTCCTCGCCATCCTTGGGGGATCTGCGAACCGCGACGGTGGCGCCACTTTCGAGGGTTGCTGGGGGTCCAGCGGAGAGACGTCCTCGGCGGATCCAGATGAAACCTCACCGTTCCTGGGGGGCTGCGAACTGCGAAACTGTCGCCGCTTTCGAGGGCTGCAGGGGGGGCAAGCGGAGTGATGTTCCACGCCCTCTCCACACCAGAGTGCAAATGAGCCTTGTGGGCCCCAGAAACAGCAGGGCCGTTTTTCACCGTTTTCGACAAAATGCCTCTTGAAATCGGAAACGGCAAAAAAAATATCCTGGCGAAGGTCCCAACCATATGCAGTTGTGGGTACCGTAATTGTGAATATCTGCTTCGGTGAAACTCCCTAAGGAACCACGAAGCGCTGCACTGGGCGGGGGGGAACGCTGTACTGTGTGGGTGGTGTGCCGAATTGGGCTTCCGGGACGCATGCGGACGGTCCCACTGAGGGCTTCGGTGGAGCTCCCTATGGGGCCACGAAGCGCTCTACTGAGTGAGTGAAAATGCCAAATTGGGTTACCGGGACGCATGCGGACGGTCCCACTGTGGGCTTCGGTGGAGCCCCCTTATGGGGCCACGAAACGCTGCACTGCGCGGGTGAAAATGCCAAAATACATTTCCCAGGCGCATACGGACGGTGGCACTGGGGCCTTGGGTGGAGCCCCTATGGGGCCACGAAACGCTGCACTGTGTGAAAATGCCAAATTGGGTTTCCGGGACGCATGAGGACGGGGGCACTGGGGCCTTCGGTGGAGCTCCCTATGGGGCCACGAAGCGCTGCACGGTGGGTGAAACGCAAGGAGAAGGGGGAGGAGGGCCACGAAACGCTGTACTGGGTGTGCAGGACGCATGCGGACGGTAGCGCTGGGACCTTCGGTGGAGCTCCCTATGGGGCCACGAAGCGCTGTACTGGGTGTGCGGGACGCATGCGGACGGTAGCACTGGGACCTTCGGTGGGGCTCCCTATGGGGCCACGAAGCGCAGTACTGGGTGGGTGAAACGCAGGGAGGAGGGGGAGGAGGGCCACGAAACGCTGTACTGGGTGTGCGGGACGCATGCGGACGGTAGCACTGGGGCCTTCGGTGGAGCTCCCTATGGGGCCACGAAGCGCTGTACTGGGTGTGCGGGACGCATGCGGACGGTAGCACTGGGACCTTCGGTGGAGCTCCCTATGGGGCTACGAAGCGCTGTACTAGGTGCGCGGGACGCTTGCGGACGGTAGCACTGAGACCTTCGGAGGAGCTCCCTATGGGGCCACGAAACGCTGTACTGGGTGTGCGGGACGCATAAGGACGGTAGCACTGGGACCTTCGGTGGGGCTCCCTATGGGGCCACGAAGCGCTGCACTGGGTGTGCGGGACGCATGCGGAAGGTAGGGAGGAGGGGGGGGCACGAGAGGAGAAGAACGCGGGGACTGTCTCTTCAAAACGAGGACCCAACACCACAGGATGGTTGGGGAAAACGGTGACCGAAAACAGCAAACAAAAAGGCTCTGGGATTGGAACTCGGACCCAGAACCGGAGAACAAATGGCGACGGAACCGGCAACAAAAACGACGACGGAACTGGCAACAGAAAACGGCAGAACGAAACCGGTGAAAAAACGGCCCTGTCGTTCGAGGGCCCACTAACAAAGTGGGGGCGGGTGAAGGCAGGGGCGGAGATGTCGGCCACGCGCACACGGGGGTAGGGGGAGGGGGGAAGGCTTCTTTGAAGCACCCCTGCTTCTTAGAAGCGGCGGGCCTTGGTTGTAGATGTAAGGCGCGCGCCTTCTAAGAAGCAGCCTCCATCTAAGAAGCCTTCCCCACTCCCCCTACTCCCTTTGTGCGCGCAGCCAGAGATGCCGCCAACTTTGCTTGCGCCAGCGCCACTCCTGGCCGGGCCACTGCCAGGGTCAAGCCCGGCGGCAGGCGCACTCCAGCCTCCTCCTCCTCCTCCTCCTCCTCCTCCTCCTCCTCCTCCTCCTCTTCCTCTGGCCAGGAGGGCACGTGCGCGGGTCCTGGGACCAACGCCCGGCGGGGGCGGCCTCCCTGCCACCCTCCCGACCCCCCCCCCCGATCCTCCTCCTTGTTGCGGCCCTCGGATGGGGCCCCACAGCGGAGGCAAAGAGGAGGAGGAGGAGGAGGAGGAGGAGGAGGAGGAGGAGGAGGACGATGTAGTATGTTCTAATGGCGGAGCTGACAGCGACGATGGTAACGACAACTTGGAAGGGGCGCGCATGACAGTGACGGGTCACGCACACGCGCGCTGGTACGTATACCAATGCCAAAATGACAATCGGCAGCGGGCGAGGGGGGAAAGTGAGAATGAGAAGGCCTTCTCAGAAGGCTCGAAGTCCCACGGCCTTCTGAGGAGTTACCCAAGCCTCCCCCGAAGACGCAGAAAACTTCTCAGAAGGCCAGAGGGCTTCCGAGAAGTCCCGCCGCCCTCTCAGAAAGCCCTCTCCTTCTCATTTCCATCCCTCGCTCGCCAGCCTTCCGGCAGAATTGGCTCAGAGATGCTGGCCCAACTTTTCGAGAGGAGATCTCTCCATCACGATAAGCAACAACCGTACACCCAACCCTTCAGGAGGGACCCGAGCTGGGAGGGCCGAAACATTAGGGGTAAGGGGGTCTTTTCTGCAGATGCATCCGACAAGCCGCCCAGATCTGTGATCCCGCATGCGAAGGCGGGGGCCGCAGTGAGGCCACGTCTGCATCGCGTTACCAGGATTAGGGACTCATTTGTGCTCGATGATATCAGATGATCGGTTGCAGCGGGAGGCGGAGGAGGAGGAGAAAGAGAGGAGGAGGAGGAGGAGGAGGAGGAGGAGGAGGAGGCGGAGGAGGAGGAGGAGGAGGGAGAGGAGGAGGAGGAGGAGGAGGAGGAGGAGGAGGTGGCGGCGGAGGAGGAGGAAGAGGAGGATGACGAAGAGACGCAGGCTGGATGATCCTCTGGGCGTGCGCTCGGCTCGTCCTGGGGGGCGTGCCCGCCTCTCCCCGAAGAGGCGGGCGCGCAGCGCCCGGAAGACGACGCCGCCGCGCCCGCCGGGCCCACAAGGCCCTAGGGGGAGAGAGGGAGGGAGGAGCTGATGGAGGAAAGGGCTGAGCAGGGAGGGAGGGAGGGAGGGGGGCAAGCTTAGGTGCGCTCGCGTCATATCTGGCGTCCTGCCCCTCCTTCCCACGCCTTCACACGTGGCGCAAGTGTCCTCTCTATTCGCACCAGTCGGGTGTCGAGCAGGGCAGTGCCGGGCAATGATCGCGGCAGGGTGCGCGATGCATGGTAGGCACGGCGTGGCATGGCGTGGAAGAGCACGGCAGAGCGTAGCATGCCATAGCATGGCGTGGCATTGCGCAGTGAAGCATTGCATCACAAAGCACTGCAACGAAGAGCATGACATCGCACAGCGGCGCAGAACACAACACCGCAAAGCATACCATGGCATGGCGCCAGGTTCCTTGGAGGGTAAGTGGATCGTCTTCGAAGAGGTCTGGGCCGGTCTGGAGCCGTGGCTCCATGTCTAGCTCTTTGGGCTCCCCGAAAAGCTCCACTCAACGCGGGGCTGATGGAGAGCACCCCGGGTCTGCTTTCGACATCGCCCTCAAAGCAGAAACGGGGCTCCCGCTTCATAGTTGCTGAAAACGACGACGCCCCAAAGTGGGGGGGGGCTTCGGCGGCCCCAAAACTCATCGAACCGACACCAAATGTTTAATCGCGTCCGATGGTTTTTCGGTGTGTGTGTGTGTGACTGTGTGTGTGACTGTGTGTGTGTTGAGGGGACATTTTCAAAATTTTGGGGCCTACCTGGAAGGACCGCAAACGCCCGCGCTGCAGCGGGAGCACGATTTGGAACAACCAGAGGCGCAGAAATGGGGCCAGCGCTTCAGCGGGAGCACCATTTTGAAAAACAACCAGTTGCTGGGAATCCTGTGTAAAAGAACGATATGCGGAGGGGGGCGGGATATCTTCAAGACGTCATCAGGGGAGAGAAGAGAATAGTCACTATTCATATTGTGTAATTGTGGAGGGAGGGAGGGAGGGAGGGAGGAAATCCGTCGGTCGGGCGAGCATTGGGGACCCCAGGGGGCAGGAGGGGAGGGATTCGTTTGAACTGCGACGCTGATGAAGCTGAGAACCTGTCAGCAAAAGACGGTGCACGGGCGCCAAGTAAGCAAAGCAAGAACGATGCAGCGAACAGTGAAGACCGTGTCGGGTAACCAAGGAACGGCGTAAAACAGGCGGGAGGCAGAGGAAGGGAGGCGGCGGAGCGGAGGGAGGGAGGAGGGAGGGGCGGAGCGGAGCGGGGCGAGGGCTGCGGAGCCGGGGGAAGGCGGGCGGAGGCGGCGGCAACGCAGTGATGGTGCTTAGCGTCGCAGGCCAAAGAGGCACACAGCTCCCGCCACCACACCTACTACCACCACCACGGCACCGTGCAGTACAACCGCCACTACTGACTACCTACCAGACCACCCCAACTCAACCCGAAGACCCGAATTTCGGGTGGTGTGGGGGGGGGGTTCCATGTTCCCCCAACTGGATATGGAGTGCAAGTTGAGGCCTTCGGGTTGGGTTGGGGTGGTTTGGTGGGTGGTGAACTACCAGGGCAGCGACTCCGGCAGCAGCGGCGAGCAGGGCCACATTGACCGCGACGATTGCGACGGCCCCGGCGGCGGGGCAACTGGCCTCAACGACGACCACGACCATGGCCACGACCCACGACGACGTGACCACTGACCCCCAGTCTCCCCCTCCCCCTCCTTGCCCCTAGCTGGCCGCCTGTGCTTCTGTTTCGCCCCCCTCCCTTCTCCTCGTCCGCCTCCTCCTCCTGGCCTGAGGGAGGCACGGAGGAAGGAGCAGAAGGATGGTCCGCCTTGCCAGAGCTCGGCACAGACTGCACGGGCAGCTGCTGCTGCGGCAGGTGCGAGACACTTGCGCTCGCGTTGCCCAAGCCCGCGGTCGCCACCTGCGCCACACATCGTGAGGCCAGAACTGACGCTGAGCATCGCCCTCCCGCCCGCCCCCCCTCCCGCCACCCATGGACACAAAAAGAAACACAGAAGCAAGCCGTCGGTTGTCCGCGCTGATTTCTTGGGTCGGCGCCGTCCCTCGTCAAGCTGACATAGAGCTCCCTCCTCCCTACTCTCTCCCTTCATCCCTGCCCGGCACTGGGGCTCGAGCTAAACAGTGCTTTTCGTGCTCGGTCTGCGTTTTCCTTCGTTCTGTCTTCGTCTTCTGCCTCTGCTTGAGCGCCCGAGTTATCCGGAATAACTCGGGTCCAGGGTAACTCGGGCTTGGATTCCCAAAAACGAGCCCGAATTAGCCCTGACCCGAGTTACCCCTGATGATTTGGGGCCCTGGACGGCCGGCTTATCCGGGGTAACTCGGGCCCGGGGTAACTCGGGTTCGGAATCCCGCATGGAGACCTATTAGGTCACCTCTCAACTTTAAAGTTGGCCCTCCAAAGTATAATGTTTTTGGCCCTCTCAATTTGAAGATCGTAGGATTAGAAACATCAGGGACAGGGGGTCTGTTCCCCGGATGTATCGAGGCAAGCCGTCCAGATTCATTGTCCCTAATGCAGGGACGGGGACGTCGGTGAGGCGACTTCCTCATCGTATTATTAAGGTCAGGGGTTATATTGTTCTCGATGGGGCAGCACCCACTTTGCCATTCCCGCTTCTACAGCTGAAGCTCGGATGGGCAAAACTATCATTTAAGGAATATGGGCCAGCTTCCTGGATGATTCTTCAAGCGAGCCTGGGCCAACTTCTGGTGTTGAAGCTGGAAGGGCGAACGTGCTCAAAAAACTGGGCCGACTGTCCGGCATGCCAGAGCTACCCATGCCTGCTGGCTTTTTCTTCAAAACACGACTGAGCTCTCAAGCTGTCCAGAAACAACTCTCCCTCCAGCCCTGCATCCATCCCTGTCTCTCTCTCTATCACTCTCTCTCTCTCTCTCGTCTGCTTGCTGCATCTGGAGCTCGGGGGGGACTGCAACTGCACAAAACCCTTCGGAGATGCCGAGAGCTGGAGGCGGCACTCGGCACCATCACACCTCTCTCGAACCACGGCGGACCCTGGAGACCGTGAGGACGCAGAGCAGTGCACGTCGGGACTGGCGGCCAGGCGGATACAGAAGCAAGGAGAAGGCGGAAGAGGGGGAAACCGACGTCTCGCTCTCGCACTCACATCTTGCAGCAACGTCAGCGGTCCACTGACGAATCTTGCGAACCGCGGCATACGCTGGCGAAATGCGCATACCACCTCAAGTCAAGTGCATAATTATGTACCTTCCTCCCCGCTGCCTTGACAGCTAAGCGGGACTTCCCCAGTTTATGGGCACGACGTGTTTGAGTACATTAGTCGTGCACTGGGTGTACCACCTAAATGATGTGGAATGCAGTTCCTACCCGTATGCACTCGTGAGCTCGGCCCAACATCTCCACTGGCACGCCAATCTTGGCCACCAAGTCTTGGCAAAACATGCCAGTGATGGGACGCAACTAAATGCATACTCGCGATGACGGCCACGATCTAACTCAACCACTCCATTGACATATCAACTTTGGCCGCCAACCCGTGCTAAATCACTCACATGACAGCGCGCATCTGATTGCTGTGAACTCAGGCCGCTGCCACTTGCAATTGGTTCAAGAGCAATGAACCTCACGACAGCACCACTCCGCGTCCCTCCCAGTCGCCAGAAGGGGAGAGCTAAACAGTGACTGTCTTGACACAAAACGCCCAACACACATTCCCACCAGCCCTCTGGGCCGAGTGGTATATAGTTGTTCTCGGTTCCCTGCCACAACCCCTCCTTCCCCTGCTCGGGGGAGGGGTTTATCATTGTTCACTGTTAATATACACCCCCTCCCCCAGGTGCCGGGCAGCCAACAAGGAACAATGCCGACCCTATGTTCCCAACCCGCAACTATCCTTGTCACAAACCAATACAAAACACATTCTGCCTCTAAATTCGGGGCCTGCGCAACCAACCCGATGCGGGCCCCCCCCTACCATCCCTATCAAACAACACTACGAAATACACGTGGGGGCAAAGTCTTGCGTCATGCTCGTCAGGCCTGCGGGCACTTTGCATTCTTTTTTGTCAGGGGTGGCGGGGGTATCAGCATATTGACTGCTGTGCGCAGGACCACCATCCCTGACAAAAAACAATACAACACTCACCTCACGGCTAAATCTGGACCATGCGCGGCCAACTCGCGATCACTGTCAAGTGGTTGTTTGGCAGGGACGGCGAGGGTGGTGGCACATGGCCTGCTGTGTGCAGGCCCACCAGTTATCATGATGGGCATTGGTTTTCGACAAAGATGGTGGGGTCCGACATGTTGCCCGATGTGTGCTGTCACGTGCGCAGGTGCACCCGACACACTCTGCACGTGCCCCGAACGTGGTGCACCTGGCGCGGCTGGGGTATGCGGCACACCTGGCGCACGTAGCGCATCTGGCGCACCAAGCGTGCCTAGCATGCTCGGGCCCCAGAGGGTGCCTGGCGCGCGTGCGCACCTCGCCCCAGCGTCGCGCACATGGGGTCGGTGTTGTTTCCCAGTAGCTCTCCATCCAAAGACGACCGCTGAACATGCTGAAGCTCGGGTGATACATACGTGTGTGGAGGGCGGGTGGGGAGGAGCTAGACGTCCTGCTCTCCAGGAAGGTGTCTTGACCCCCTCTCCCTACCCCCTGCCCTGGGCCTGGAAGTTGGGGACCCCCGAACCGTCAGAGCGCCCAAGGTGGCGCCAAGAGGGCCCAAGGCAGCCCAGGACGGCCTCCCAACTGGCTCAAGATACTTCCACATCACCCAAAGTAGCCTCCGACATGCCTCCAAAACGGCCCAAGACAGTCCCCCCCCCCACAGGGTTCCGAGTGTCCCTCGAGATTCCCAAGGCACTTTCCCAGAGGCCTAGAACCTTCAGAAACCTGAGGAACATCAAGGTGGTTGGGCTTCTCGATGCTTCGCGTCCGATGGGCTTATCGGGCCTCAGGATGGCCCACCGATGTCCCAAGAGAGGCCCCAGAGGGGCACAAGACGGCCCAAAGATGGCCCCCAGAGCGCCGAAGACACGCCCAAGAGCGCCCCACGACGGCCTCAAGAGCCCATGTTGGAGCCTCCGAGAGGGGGGGCTCACGTTTATAACCACCCCTCCTTCGATCAATCTCCTCTCAGATGGCCCCAAGAGATCCCAAAGGGGCGCCCAGCATCACCAGGGAGGCGCCCAGCCTCAACAGGGAGGCCCCCAAGCGGCCCCCAAGAGGCCCCCACGAGAGACCAAAGAGGCTCCAACAGGCCCCTGAGAGGCATCAAAGACGCTCCACGATGCCCTGAGGACCACCAAAACCTCTCCTCCTCCTCCCCCCCTCAACCTCCTCCTCATTATCCTTTTCCTCCCCTCCAATTCGGGGCAATATGATCTGATGTTTGCTAAGCCCTTCGGAAAATCATTGACACATCCAGAGCCGCATGCATGCTCCTACTCTCCCTACCCCTTCCCTTCCCTTCTCCTCCTCATCGTCCTCATCCTCTTCCTCGTCGTCCTCCTCCTCCTCCTCTCATTCGGGGCCATATGATCTGATGGTTTGTAAACCAATCCGGGAAAACAGTGGCAACGAGTGACACATCCAAGGCCGCACGCAACCACCTCCTCCCCCTCACCTCCTCCCCCTCGCCTTCTCCTCCTCCTCATCCTCCTTTTCCTCTTCCTTCTCTTTCCCCTCTGCCTCCTCTATCACTCGAAGCAAAATAATACCAGGCGTTTGTCCACAACCGTTCGAAACATTTGGCAGCATGGTGGTGCAGGAACCCCTCCCCGATGGTGACGTGTGGCAGGTCAACATGTGTTGAAAAGGACCCTGATAAGACCCCCGTACAGCCAAAATGGCGCCAAGTCGACCTGTTCAACCTATATACCTTTTGACGACAGAACCGCCTTCCCCGCACACCCGAAAAGGCATCCAAGGCGGCTGTCGCACTGGATGTTTCTACGCTGCCCTCATCAGGGCAACTCCTCTGGCGATCGTGTCTGGACGGGCTCGTGGGGCTACTTTTTCGGTCGCGGCCGCAAGACGACGGTCAGGCGGCGAAAGCAAACTCCGGGACGCGAACTAGGCGAATTAGCAGGGACAGGCGCAGGCCGGCCGGCCCACTCAGACAGCAGCTGCGGGCTGACGGGTGAAGCTGAACTGATCGGCGCACTGCAAGCTCGGGCACGCGCGCTGGACAAAATGTCACGGAATCCAGTCGTGGGATATTTTTGTTGGTTCGCGGCTCCAAGGCGAAGGACTTGAAGCGGGTCAACGTGCGGGGCGCGGAACGAAGATAATTGGCCGAAGTGGCGCGTGCACGTGCCAGGAACAAAATGACCCTCATTAAGACGCCAGCGGCATCGGCAAGTGACCGGCACAGACATCCCAGCAGGTGGGGACGCTACGGCGCGGCGACCGGCGGCGGAACGGGGGGGAGAAGTCGCCCTTTCGGCGCCAAGCTCCAGCCGAACCACACACGGGGCGGGGCCAAAAAGGACGGCGCGGCACGAAAAGAGGATCCGAATGGCCACTGGCCAAGCGAAGCCACCGAGCGTGCACACAGATACGGGCTGCCCAAGGCCACCGCAGGGGGGGGGAGGAGGGAGCAAAAGCGAGCGACAACCGAAGGCTCAATGCAGCACAACGAGTGGTGATGTTGCGGCAAAAAGGGGGGCCTGGCTCACATGGCTCACTGATGCAGAGAGTAGCTGAAGCCCGTCAGAGCGCCATCCAGTAGAGGAAGACCACTGGTGTGCGTTCACGAGGCTGAGCCACCTCCAGCCGGTAGCCAGCGCGTGCACATCGTATCCGACTCTCGCGGTTCGGGGGCAAAACGATGCATGTACTGACGGGGGCTGATAGCAGACTGTTCTGCTAGGGGGGGCGACCACGAACTGCAGAAGGCTGAACCACTCGATGCAGG